AGATGCAAAAATTAGCAGCTGGAGAAAGTTTTGTACAGAAACAACCACCACCTATGGACTCCACCACAGGATTGCGGCAGGAAAACTTTTTAAACCAGCCACCTTACATATATTGCCAACACCCAATAGTACTGGCCAATATACAGAAGATACAATAAAGGCAATCATGTCAGCAGTCTTCACCACAGACAATCCGCAAGAAGACACATTAGAACAGACCACAATCAGGAACCAGCCCTCAGAAATTGCTACATCAAATGATCCTTACTTCACAATCAGGGAGATTCAGCAAGTGCTGCGCCAGCTTCCCCAGCGCAGAGCACCAGGACCGGATGGTATTGACTACCGAATTATTAAAGCAATTATAAGCACTAATGTAACTCTATTTCAATCACTCTTCAATAAGCTCCTGCAAACGGGGACATTCCCTAACAGCTTCAAAATTGGGCAAGTGGTCTTATTTTTGAAAAAGAATAAAGATCCAACGTCTCCAGAGTCGTACCGTCCAATATGTCTACTTTCAGCTTTGGGGAAGGTTTATGAAAAGCTGATCATGACAAGATTGCGGCATCATCTATATGTTACGAAATACTTAAGCCCAATACAATATGGGTTTAGTCCAGGACAGTCTACTTTGCATGCGCTTACAGAAGTTAAGAATCAAATCCTAGAAAATAGGTCTGCTGGCTATCACACAGCGTTTATTTCCATCGACTTAAAAAGCGCTTTTGACACGCTGTGGTGGCCAGCGGTTCTTCAAGCCCTGCGCCTAAGTAAATGCCCAAGAAATATCTATCTTACTTTGGAACACTACCTTTCTGACCGATTGCTAATAGTACCCCATAATAGTGTATGGTATGGTAGTGCAAAATCAAAATCAAGGATGCCCGCAAGGCTCGTGTGCTGGGCCGTTTCTTTGGAATATAACATTCAATGGTATATTAACCAATGCGTGGCCAGAGCACACGCGCATCATTGCGTATGCCGATGATACTGCACTCATCGTTCGGGGTAGAACAAGAGAACAACTTCAGACCAACGCCCAAGAATCCTGCTCGCTATTTCATCAGAGATGTGCAGAAATTAAACTCAAGATATCTGAAGCAAAGTCACAAATACTTCTAGTTCCCAAAAAGGGAGGTACGCTCGCAAGACAACCAAAAATAACTTTGAATAATCATCGACTTCGAATTGTTAAAGAACTGAAATACCTAGGAATAGTATTTGATATCAAACTAAATTGGATACCACATATTATGGAACTGAAGAAGAAGAAGACGCTGGGAATAGCTCAGCAACTTAAGTTTATGAAAGGTCACGAATGGGGCCTTAACCCGTACATACAGAAGGTACTGTATAAAACAGTAATTGAAAAAATTGTTACATACGGGGCGGCAGTTTGGTCATTACCTATGCAAGGTCGCAAGATAAAACATCTCTTAAGCATACAACGACCGTTCTTACTGAATATTACCAAGGCATTTCGTACTTCCCCAACTAAAGCACTATGTGTATTGACCGGTCTGTCTGCCACCGTTGCATCTTAGTGTGGAAAAAGAAGCGACTTATCAAACAGTCGCCCAATTAGGCCAACCAGCAACCCTCCATGAGGATAATTATTTCCCAGCGGAATATGAGAAGAAGTTGATACGGCTATGTGATCATCCAGCGAAACAGGGAAAAGGGGTGAACATTAATCTCAAGCAAAATACCAACATAACGGATGCTGATTTAGTATATTATACAGATGGCTCCCAAATAGATGATAACACAGGCTGTGCCTACATAGCCCTGCGAAACCTGGACACGCTAACACTTTGGAAAGGTCACCTGGACACCAATAATAGTGTGTTCCAGAGTGAGGTGTTAGCAATTGACCGGGCACTAACCCACATCATACAGGAGCAGAGCAACATAATGGAAGCTTCATATTGACAGATAGCTTATCGTCTCTGCATGCACTTTTAAATCCAGTGCACTGTTCCCGCTCATAGCAGACATACAGTCGAAATTACATGACAACAGTCATTTAAACGTAAAGCTGCAATGGATAAAGGCCCATGCTGGCCAAACAGGAACCAGCTGGCGGATCAGCTAGCCAAAGAAGCGGCGCAAAACATAAATGCTGAACAAATTAAGATACCTTGGCCAATTTCCTGGCTAAAGAAAAATCTTACGCAAAAAATCAAATCCCTGTGGCAGGAAGAGTGGAACTCTGACGACACAGGACGTCGTGTTTATTATCATATTCCCACAGTAACTTATGATCGCCTCATAATACATTCTCAACTTGTACGGTATATAACGGGACATGGTCCTTTTCCTGTATATTTTGAAAGGTTTGGCATTACAAATACGGCACAGTGCATTTGCGGTGAATTGGGCACACCCGAACATTATGTAGCTAACTGCCCACTAACAACTGATTTGCACCTGCCGATCCCGCCAACGAATGAGCAAGCATTTAGCAGGTTCATGATAAATAACAAGCATGCAGTACGAAAGATTAACAAAATTGTTAATAAACTTATGGACCTCGGCACTGACCTGTGTCAAATCTAATTTTATATATGTCTCTAAAGTATATCATAAAATAAACTATTTTGAACTGTGCTAAAACTAATGCAAATAAAAAACTAAGAATTATCCCTTTATGTGGACTCCCTCGGCTACATTTATACTGAATAATTATTTTAGTACAGTAATCGTTTTGTATCAGAGAAATTGTGTATAGTATTAATTTATTGTATCATAGTTTTGAAACATTGTAATAGAGAAATCGTATTGATGATCGTATAGATGATAAGGTTATTACTTTTAATGTTTACCTAACTAGTATAATTGATAGCGGAATAGTTCTGTTACTAAATAGAGTAATCATATTGAATAAGAGTAATTGGTATTGTTTTATAGCATCATTGTGTTAACTGGTATGGTATGATTAATCATTGTACTTAGTAAATGCATAGAATCACTGTACTAAATTATTATATTTTAGTAATCACAAAGAATCATTCTATTGAATCACTGAATTGTAATCAACAAATAAAGTGCAAGTTATACTGTACTGTACATATTTAACAATTGATTTCTTACAAGTAAATGTAACATCAATACTATAATAGGTACTTAAATGACTATACCATATATTTAAATGTTATTAATAACATATATAGTATTACTACAAATCTGAATATATATATTAAATCACTGAATACTTGTATCGTAATCTTTATACTTCAGTCACTGCATATAATTATTGCTTTGGTACATGGTCTAAAGAAGCAGTATAATATCACTGTATTGCATCATTACATTATTTATAATATTCAGTGTGCAAGGTAAAAACTGTACAGTACATAATTTATAATTAACTGCTTTCAAGTAACTTGTAGTATCACTTGCTGTAATGATTAATTAATGGTTTGTAATTTAAATGTTTGTGTCACTTGGGTAGTGAGGTTTATAATATAAATGGTATTTTTATTAATTTGAGCAATAATATTGAAAATTTTGAATAATTATATAGATTTTTGTTCTAATAAGCGCATAGAATTGTTGTATTGAATCATTGCATTTGAATAATCGTATAGAATCATAATATTGAATTATTCATGAGTAATCGTACGGAATCATTGTATTGGAATTATTTATTTGTATAGTATTTCCAATGTGCAAGTAAAATTGTACTGTACATATCTTATTTTTGAATTGCTTGCTAGTAATATGTAACATCATTTCAGTAATAAGCACCTGTATGAAAAAAAATATTATTTTGATGTCAACACGGCATATATGATTAATAACATGAATAGTATTATCATTAATTTAAGTAATAGTATTGAATCATTGTATATTTATAGTGAATCATTGTTCTAATATTCGCATATAATTATTGTTTTTAATCATTGCATTTTAGAAATTGTAAAGAATTAATGTTTTTATAGTGTATTTATAGTCTAAGTGAAATTATTCATTTAACTGTATTAAATCCAATTTAATATAATAACTGTGTCTTTAGTAGTAAGCTGTAATATAAAAGTTAACAATGATATTCAGAATATTAGAGACTTATGTGAGATCTAAGTATTTTTATACTTCTCCACTAAAAATTTAAGTTGGCAATGTATGAAATATAAGCATTTGTATGTTCTTGGGTTTTTGTATACTGAGTTTAAATGTTGAATTTTGCATTAGTAAATTCACGTTGACAATGTCGTCACTTATCAATCACAACAGTATAATATAATCATTATGTATGATATATCCTCTTTATGTATTGAATTGTAAACTTTATATGTAACTTGCTAAAATTACTTGCTAGGGTGTTGAATTGTAATCTTATGTGTCACTTGCTAAGTTTTGTTCATAAGTACTGTGTACACACAGATGTAACCATTTTTAATATCTATGTTTTGTAACACTAATCAATGTGCCCTATGAGTGGATCTCGTGTGGCTCTAACATGAGTCAGCTTTAGATAAGGGTGGACGTGGCGCTAAACCAATTAACCATAATGGTGCCCACGTCCTCCGTCACTAAACTAAACTAAACTAAACTGGTGTCACCGTCATTGATCCACTTTGCATAAATATTAACAACGACAGATCGTGAGAAACCTGACAGTCGTGCAGTTTCGGAGATACTTATTCCTAATCTTTGGGACATTACAATCTGCCTAGTGTTTTTACACTTCACTTAAAATTTTGTGTCCAGTTTTAGGATTTTTTTTTTTTTTTTTTTTTTTTTTTTTTTAAGAAAGGCGTAGAAATATTACAGTTTACAGAGTTCATGCTATGTGTTGCAAAATATCCAGATTTTTTCCCTTAAGTTCTTAATTTTTACTACTCTGCTTCTGATATTCGAAATTATTAAGGATACATGCATGACTGAATTATTCATATACTTTTGTAATAAAATCAGCAAGACATATTAATAATTTACAAATATTTTATGTAAAATATCCTTAACTTTATTTCTCCCCCCCCCCTTTCTTTCAGATTAAACGAAACAAATGCAAATATTTCAAGGATTTCTTTAATATTCAAGACATCTTAGTACTTCTGGTAAGTAATTCAAAGACAGATTTATATATAGATTTAATATCTTTAAAATAAAATCATACTAATATAAGTTGCTGATTTAAATGTATTTGGTTATAATTTAATCTGTTTCTAACATTATTATTAACTACAGACTAATGCATTTCAAAAATAGGTTATTTATTTTATAATATGTGTAATTTATGAAATATATGTCAATTCCAGATTTAAAATTAGGCTAACTGTAGTTTAAAATCCGTTTTTTAATCTCTAATACACGAAAAAGCAGAATACAATTTAAGATTTAAGGCGAAATGCAACTGATTATTTAGAATGTTCTTGTGATATCGAGGAACCCCATGCTCGTCTCCCTCGAAATGCGTAGAATTATTCTGAAAGCTAAACAAATATAAAAGTTAAATCAAAGGATAAATTCTAAGGTTCTAAAAATATCGAAATTTAAATTTCTTCTAGTTTCAGTACTTCGCAGTGAATTATTGCATTTTATACACTAAAGTACGATAAAAAGTATTACCGTAAATTTCATAGCAGATATTTTTTTGGACATTTATATGCTAATGCGATATTTAATAACTAAGTACCATCCAAAAAGTCCAAACTCGAGCAAATTGGTTATCATATCTATATTTATTCTATAAATTTATTATTTAAAAATTCATCTGCTATTTAATATTACTGAAACCTAGTTTTCGTTTATCTGTATATTTTGTTTTCAGTTAACCATGTAAAGATGAAATATATTTTTGCATGCAGAGATAAAGTGGAACACAATAAGTAAAATCAATTTATAGTTTACAGAATTGCTCCAATTTCAACCAAAAACTACTTATATTACCGAATACTTTATGTAATCTTGATACTTGCATTTTAATAACAATTACTGAAACACGTTTTCTGACATTTATTTTTCTGTTTAGGTGTCTTTCTTATGCATAGGATTCAGTGTGTATCGCAACATGGTCATGGATGGCTTGCTTCAAGAACTTCTCAGCGAACCCGATACTTATCCAAATTTCGAGTTCCTTGGTTATTGGCAAACACAGTTTAATAATCTTGTCGCTCTCACAGTGTTTTTGGCATGGATCAAAATTTTCAAATACATAAGCTTCAACAAAACTATGACACAACTTTCCTCGACTTTATCTAGAGTAAGCTCTTACAAGAAATTCCTACAACAAAGATTTTCAAGACAATTTATTTTTTCAATTTTCCAAGGATATCAATAGTTTATATAAGTTATGTATACATAGAATGTTTATATTGATTAGTACTTTATCTGTTGAGCCGTTAGGGCTTAGTCTTAGTGTCCAGTTGCAAAAAGGAATTAATGCCTGACGATTGAATTGGTTGGCTGAATGATTTTAATGGTTTATTTGCTACGAAGTATGATTATTTCATTTAAAGATAGACAGACTAACCACATAATTACAAAAATATAGCAAATGACAAAAAGATTTAGATTTTCATATATCAGACTTTGAAGAGTGGACTTTTGCGAGAGGGAGTTGAAAGCTTGTATGAAATAGGAAGTTTAATTTTTTGTACGATCTAATAATATACTTGTATATACTGTTTCTTTTATAATTGGTTAATGTTACACTGTTTTTTATAGGTTTAAATAAAATACTGAGTTATAAAATTTTCCCATTTTCAGTGTTGCATCCCATACAATTTTGTAAACGACAAAATCAAATTATTACTACTCATTTTTAAAATTTGAATAAGCAGTATACATATCTACTAGTATCAAAAGCTCAAAAGATAAAGCACTGACAAATATTTTGAAGTTTGTTTCTATCTATGTAAAGATAGACATTGCTAAAACTTTCTAAAATTAAAATCCTGGTCAGCAGTACCTTGATAATATATATAAGTGAATAATTTAAATATGTAAGTTAGAGATGTGGAATCTTTCTATTACCTATCCAATTCAACTTTCCTACAAGTATGAATAAGATTATATACAACACTGCTTAATTTTTTTCGTTGGCAGAACACAGTTTTTAAAGGAATTAAATGTAATTTAAAATTTTCTCGTCCGTGTAATGTCAAATTTTGATAAAAAAAAATATTACTTTAATTTTTATTACTCTTTCTGCAGAAAGAAAGAATATAATAAATGCCCGTAAAACTTTGAAAAGTAATCAGTTCAAACTATCCCTCCTTTTCCATGATATAAATCTTGAAATTTTATTACAGACTTAAACTACCAATGTTTAAATTTAGAGCTAAAAAGAAACTGTTACCAAATACGTAATGTCGACAATGAAATTTTCAATTGTCAGTAAAAGGAAATTTTTAAAAAGTTTGTTATCGATAAAATTACATATCATACTTCTAATGCACTTTAGTATAGTTTTGTTTAATAGTAATGCATGAGGTTTTAATTTTTATCTTATTCTTTTTATTATTTCAGTGTTCAAAAGACGTTGCTGGCTTTGGAATTATGTTCTTCATTGTATTTTTTGCATTTGCGCAGTTAGGATATCTGCTGTTTGGAACAGTGGTTCGTGACTTTAGCACTTTTGCCAAAGCTGTGTAAGTTACTATTTCTCACTGCTTTAGAAAATTTCCTAACTCTTTTCAATTAATTTTGATATACTTTAAAAGAAGAAAATACTTTTTTTTTTTTTTTCCCCCGTACAAAGTGAAATTTAACAAGAACAGCAAAGTCACAGCAAAGAATTTATTTTTGTGAATATAGATTTTAAAATATTTTTAGAGAAAGAACAGTTATAATATTAAGAAATATATTTTGAAAGCTTGTTATAATGCAAACTGGGATGCAAGAAATAAACCTGCGTTATCAAATCATTAGTTCTGTACTAGAAGCAAAGCGCAAAGGATTTACCAAAGAAAGAAAAAAAAAAAAAAACTTTTGAAGAAAACTATGTATTTAGGAAAGAATTCAAGCCTTTTAGTCAAGATTATGTAAATGGATAAGTAAAATAAAAAGATGCAATATTAATCAACATTTTAATTAGATAGATGGATATTAGACAGCGTACGCAAAGGAGAGAAAACGAAGCATAACATATACATATATTAAGATAAAATAACACGCCGAAGAAGTATTAATTTAGAAGTCAAACAACAAAAATCAACGTTATATTTGCAAATTTTCATAGTACTAATTTTGATGGTTTTACCGAACCATTATTCTCAGTTGCCAAAGTGCAAATGAAAGAGATAAAATATAGTTATTAGATAAGATAAGAATGGCTGGACAGGAGTTAAGCTACTGGCACCATTTTTCGTTTCATCAACAGATGGCGCCAGTAGCTTAACTCCTGTCCATCCATTCTTATCTTATTTTATCTAATCACTATACCTTATCTCGTTCATTTGGGCTTTGGCAGCTCAGGATGATGGTTCAGTAAAACCATGGAAACTAGTCCTGTGAAAATTTGAAATATAACGCTGATTTTTGTTGTTTGACTTCTAAATTAATATACATACAGCGGAAGAGAGCTCTAAAGATTCCATTAGACCATCAGATTTCTTCGACGATAATTTGACTTTGTTGCTATGTTTGTTATCACGAGCAACATCAGCGTAATATCAGAAGCGGAAGCACAGATGGTAGCGCTATATAACAATGTAATAATGTATTTAAATTTTCAGGGAAGGCGGTAGAAAATAAGAAAAAAAAATATACGAAAAGTACATTTATTATAAAAACTCGTATTAACGCAACTGGAATAAATTTGTTTAAAAAAGATTTTTAATTACGTATTTGAATATAATTATAGTTGCTTGAATATATAGGTAGTTATTTGAATATTCTCCGTTGAATTAATCACTGCAAAGAATCACTGCAAAGAAATTTACTGAATTAATCACTGCAAAGAAAAGGAGATAAAAACTATTAAATTAAGATCAAGGACAAGACAATAAATAAAATATAATTATTAGACTTAGGAAGACTAAAATAACCAGAGATATCTAAAAATTAGAGGAATATTACTAAATAATAATGTAGCATAAAAGACTTTTAAATATCGATATATTTTCTTTAAAAAAAGAAAAAAAAAAAAAACTCTTAACACTTACGCACCGATATACTCGCGTATCTGTTTAATTTCAGTAACGAAAGAAACAGATTTCTGACAAGTTTCTTTTGGGTTTGCAACATAAATATTACTCACTGTCGCGCTAAACTGATAGTTTCAAACAAAGGATTGCTGAACATAATAATTCTTTTCGTGTTTGGCTCCTAGTAAAACGGATCACTGTTGGATGTATATACGCTGCCTCTCTACTCGATATTTCCATGTTGTGCAGGGCATGTCCATGGGCTTGATATAAATACATTTTAAGGTCTTATTGCTTTTAGAGCCAGTTTCCCTTAGAAAATCCTCCACGAAGGCATCCCTCCCCTTACGCAGATAGCCCTCAAGGCTTTGCCGTAATTAAATGACCTAACCTAACCTTATTGCTTTTAATAGCTAAAACATTTTAGTTTATTCTATTTTATTTATTCTTTTATTCATTCTATTTAGTCTGTCTATTCTTTTATTCTCTTCTGTTTAAAACTATGTAAAATAAATGTAGAAATACAGCTCTGCCGCCAGAACAATACTCATCTACTAATATTGAATCTCTGCAACTTTTTATCCGCAGTCTGAGAAATCCGTTTAGGTGCGATAGAATGCATGCTACAGTATTAGAAATAGCCTCGAAATGGATCTATTCTGGTGCAGTTTTTCCTAAATACAAAAATAATGTATTCAGATTACTCACATGAATTTACTGAATATTTGATAAGTTCGTGTTCAAAAATAACACATGCTGCACATTTTTCCTTTAGATTCACGCTACTGCGACTCATTCTTGGTGATTTCAATTTCTATGAACTAGAAGCAGCGAACAGAATTCTTGGGCCCATATATTTCCTTAGTTACGTGTTTTTTGTGTTTTTCGTGTTGATGGTGAGCTAAGTTTCGTACATTGTATTCTATAAATAATTAAATGTAGTTTTTAATTCCTTCTTTACTGAGATATAAATTTGCATTTTTCAGAATATGTTCTTGGCAATTATCAACGACACTTATGCAGAAGTGAAAACAGAGATCGCTTCTCAGAAGAACGAATTTGAAATTGCTGATTATTTTAAAAAGGTGAGCTATATCAATTTATATTAATCTCCAATTTCATATCCATAAATATAAATTTTTCCAATTTCATATCCATAAACATATATTGGTAACTAGATAAATCTCCATAAATCTCCAATTTCATAGCCATAAACATATATTGGTAACTAGATAAGATATTTACACTAAGTTACATCTCACTTATAGCACTTCTTTAAAAAACATTTAAATGACAGAACTGATGACAAAATAAGAGGTTTTTTAATTTTCATGAGCAAAAAGAGCAAGAATTACTTATTTAGAATTATCAGCCCCAAAGGGGCAGTTTGCCCAGAAGGGCTATTAATTTCGTTTTGACATTTTACATCGTCCACTATAAAACGGCGTTTCACTTTTCAAATTGCTGCCACCAAATATTATAACCCTGCATTATACTTAAAGAAATTAAATAATGAAGAATATGCGTGAATGAATTTATGTTTATCGCTTTGTGAAAAAAACAACTGTACCTAGAGACATAAAATTTGGAATTACGAAGTCCTCTACTTGAGTATGGACATGCGGAAGCCCAAATTCGGAATAATTTGGAATTTATTTTATTACCTTTTTGATATTTTGTAAAATTTTAACGAATTTTTTATTAACAAACTCAACAATTTCAAAGCGAGCAATAGCAACATTGTACGAAAAAAAAAACATTTCTATCTCCAGCGCGCGAGACTGTGTATCGGAAATTCTAAAGATATGCTCTTTTTAAATATTTTGGGATATTGCTCTTGAATTGAATTTTGGTTTAAATACGAAGAATATGGCATTTAATAAATAAAGGTAAGCCACAAAACGTAAAGAAAACACCCCTTTGAGAGGAATATAAAATCCGAAAGCTCTCAGGCTTTTTTAAAAAAATATTTTATTATATATTTTATTTTCTTTTACGAACCAAACTGTTAACTAACGAGCATATGTCACAAAGCATAATAGTTGTAAGTAGCTTTAAATTTATGAAATCAAAATTAATAGACACAGTGCAAGAACTGATGGAAACTTATAAAACTAATAAATCCTCATGTTACATACATATGATTAGTGAATATTTGCGTTAAAACAAATAAAATTTCAGAAAATCAGTCGCTTAATAACAACAGCAAAAGAAAAGAAAGCGCAAGTATAAACAAATTTACATTCCGAAAGTTAACACAAATAAGCAAGAAACAATTGCTGACAGCAGTTTCTCTGGAATTCAGTCCAGTTCTATCAAATGCTACGATGAATATACTAGAAACCGTACTGCTGCATTAGAGATTTCATTGTGTTCTAGTGAAATTACCTAGCTGCAAATTCTACCGCTTAACGTACTTCTTTTTCATTCACTCCACCTCCCTTTTTAGCAATTACAAAACATCAAATTCCTCTTCGAAAATTTTCCCCATCTTATTTTACATGATAGATACTTTCTAAAGTATCAAACCTTTTATTTTCGCCATAAGTAAGCTCACAGAGAATGCTGAGTAATCTTAGAGGCAATAACAAAGAAATTTATCAAAAAAAATAAAATATGTTGAAGTTTAATGTTAATAAAATTTGCTTACTAGTTAAATACCTTAGTAAAACATATTTATCATTTAACTTTCTTTTTTTTATATTTCTGTCAAATTCATGTAGGGTTTCAACAATATGATGGGGAAACTAGGAAAACGTAACCAACTCCTTGACTTGCAAAACGCACTTAAACTGGCAGACACAAATGGAGACAACAAACTATCTTTTGAGGAAGTCCGACAGAAGTTAAGACAGTAAGTATGCAAACAATTATCTATTGTGATTTTTAAATCCTCTCTTTAATTCATAATTACACAGTTCATCATCATCTATAGCCAGGTTCTAGATTCCCATAGATTCCCTAGTAGAGCAAAACTTTCCTAAAGTTTCAATGTTGCAAAATAATTAAGTTTTACATAAAACGCAACGAAGTTTTAAAGCAACTAATATATTGCTTTCATTTGAAGATGCACAATCAAAAATATATAGTCTGTTTTTTGTGGCAGTTCAGGAGGGAAATAAAATCAAAATAGAGTCTTTGAAAAATAAACTATAGCAGAAGCCGCTTAACGTGATTACATAACATTCATTTTTATAATATTAACAAAATGTTAACATTAAGCGATGAGAAAAATATCCTTCAAAATATCGATGGAATTTAACTAATTTTATATAAATATATCTAATATCATATAATTACTGACTTTCGAAGCATTCTAATTAAGAAAAAAGGTCATTAACAGTTGATAGTTTACACAAAAGTTCATTTTTGGAACTGTTCATAATGTTTCTGTAAATTAGTTTGTCCGATGCTGTATCAATAATTTTAATATTCATAGGGTATTCGCCATATCGGCCATTTGTAGGAAATTCATTGATTTTGTCATCATCTTTTTTCGAAAGTTTATCGTATGATGTGCTTGGATTTGTTTCAGAAAATGTCAAGCAGGTTTCTTCTTTTGTCACTAAATCTGCAGCTTGAAGATTTCATCGATATCCATCCAAGTGTTAAACTCCCCACAATTTATAATAGTTAGAAAAGTTTTTACTCCTCATCTCCTTTCACTTTATCATTTATTAAAAGGTTTGCATGTTTACATAGTTCATTATCATTTTTTCTAAGACAAGGTTCCAAGACTTTAATGTTGCCTTAAATAAAACTCAAGATGCACGGTGACTTAATCTCTTATTTCCCGACATATCTGTGCTATTTGGCGACAATTTTGTTCTATTTTGACCTCATTTGGCGATTTTATTTTTAATTTCTTGATTTCAGTTCTTCAATTACAGCAGTTTCTTATCAATAAAGAGTGTAATATTATAAATAAATTTCATTAAAAAATGCAAGAAAACATAGAAAATTAGCAACCATAAGCAAGACTAACAGTATCAGAGCAACTGACAAAAATAATGATGTTGCATATATAAATAATGCCAAAGATTAATTAGAAACTTCCAACTGTGAAATGAAATTTTGCTTTCATTATCTAAGGCTATAGTCAGATAGCCTTTTATAAAACAGCTGTTTTTTAGCCTAATTAAGTTCATATGAATAAGTATTGTTGAAGAGACTAGTTAGTTTCAAAAACGTACTTGTGCTATACAGATTTAGTGCTGTAGAATTATATGCAGAATTACTACCAAAATTTACAAATATTTTTATTTGACTTGTGCCATTACTTTATTTAATGCATGACATGCACAAAACAGTTTGAGGATCAATAGCCAAAGCTATTTTCCTTGCTCCTTAAATCTTTTTGAAGCATGTTATTTAAGACGATATTATTTAAGCTCGCCGTTAATAGCTAAGGAATTTCGTATCATCCCACCAGTAGCTTTTCACTATGTTGAATTCAAAGTAAGTAACGAGATCTTTCAAGATGCTCAACCCACCTTTCAATACTGTAAACACGCGACCTTCCGTGAGCAAATGCATTTGATTTACAGCACGTACTTTTAAGATTTTTTATACGGTTCTCAGTTTTTTATGAACCTTGAATATTTTTATTCAACATTACGAACCAAATAATTCAAATTAAAATATAATAGTTTAAATTATTTCCTAAAGTCTATAAAATTTAGATTTAGTATCAAATTTAATTACAGAAGAAATATGACTGAATAATATGACAACAGAAATACAAGCACCTTCTATAGCGTAATTAACTGAAAATAGATTTTCAGGTATAATATTAGAACGTCTAAGATTGAGAATGCCTAGCTTAAGACTTTAAAAAATTGTTTCTTTCATTTGCATTAATACTTCATGAAATAATAATTAATTTGATTGATGCTGCATGAATTTAAATTACGCTATTATTAAAGTTAATTTTTTCTCTTTATTCGTCGCTTTCATTCTGTCGCAGCCAAAGATAAGAAATCAATTAAGTATTTACATTTACTGAAAGTAATGACCATGTCTTACATACTATTAATTTGACTTTCAAGTATACGTATAATATGTTCAAGTATAAGATTGTGTCACTATCGCGCAGTTCTGACAACTAGCTTGTCCTCACTACGTTTCTTTATATACAATGAACTGCTTTCGTTGACATTCTTTTTTATTTAACCACCAATAGCTATTTCTAGGAGTTAGTGGGGAAATGTCTCATACACTGTGAAGGAATGTCTTTAAATAACATAACGGTACTTAACGCATTATAGCAACCACCTTGGCGTAGATTGGGGTATTTTGCGGAAGAAAAAGAGCAGCTATTTTTACTTTCATATTTATTCTGAAAAACAATCAGTAAACTTAGTTACAAACGGGTTTTTGTTGTGCTGGAAATTTCGTAAAGATCTTTTTGAGGAAGGATTCGAAGCATTGTTTCTTTAGCTGTTTTTCAGCAAAATGCCGTATTCCTCCAGAAGTTTCACCTCTGTTTCTTCTATCATAGAAAAATCGCCCAAACACAAATTTTTAATTCCAATTTAAGACAAAAAAACAATGATAATCTTTCTATAAATTCTATAATTTCTGGAATTTGATATACAAGAAAAAGAATGCCTACGAAAGTGGCGACGTTGGAAACACAATATTTGTCATGCGCATGGTTGTCTGAATAATTATTATGCTCCTGGTTACCAGAGTTTGGCGTGCCTGAAGCTACTGCTATTTCTACTAAGGCAGTTGCGATAATTTGCAAGTACCAAAATAACAAGCATGGCTGCACTATATTTTAGTGTTTCATCGAAGCTTTTTAAAGAAATTAGATAAATAGGCAAGCAAATTGATGATAAACTCTGTTGTTTATTTTAAAAAAATTAGATTTCATTTATTACTACTAAAATTCAGTGATATACTCTACAAACTGCTGCAAGATGTAGAGTATCACACATGTTAATGTAATATAAGTTTATTTTTTTCCCTTCAGCTGCAATTGTAAAAGTTAATTAAATGATAGGCCTCATTATCTATGTACTTTGCAATACAGTTGAGTCTTGATTGTCCACCATTTCTTTTTATTCAATATAACTACATAACCATTTTCCGATCCAGAGATTCGGAAAGACTTTATTCAGATGGTGCTGGGCAGGTAATGTAAAATTAATCATTGACCCATTGTGCAGGCACCAAATAGTGAGGAAGATTCTTGCGATTCCTAATCGTGAGATGAGCAATATGTCGAGCGTTTCGGAATATTTAATAAACGTAACAAAATCATTAAAAAATACAGACCAACAGATAGACTGGTGTAATTTCTATCTAGGTTTGGTTTATTCTATTGATAGCAAAGCACACAAGGATTATCTGCATAAGGGGAGGGATGCCTTCGTGGAGGACTTTCTAGGAGAAACTAGCTCGTATACACGTTGCACATAGAAAAAGCCACGAAAACACCCGTGCAGCCAGCCCGTTCGCGGGATTCGAACCTCGGACCGAACTACCAGTGTTCAGTGGCATTACCACTCGGCTGCTTGTGGTCCTTATTTTCATCTATATTTTGGCATGAAGCAGTAGCCCAAGTTGTATAAAGTTCTGCGATAGTCACTAGAAAGGACGAGTCCATTTATGTCCATAAATGTTTGCTCGTGAAGAAGCTTGATTTACGTTAGCTTGGCACTTGAAATCAAGACAGTCCTTAAAAATCTGCATCAATATAAATTAGCTCTTTCGCTTAGTTTCAAATATTACTTTACTATGTTACATAGCTTTCAATAAAAGAATTGATTACTTATTTATTTTCAGAAATATCTCTTCATTTTTTTTCTTTAAATTTGAAGCAACTACACTCTATTATTTAAATTTTTCGCGTTGCATTACATCACGCACTGAAAATCGTCATCCGTTGTCCGTTCATTCCATTAGCCATGTGATTTGGCTAACTGGTAATTTGGTAATTTATCTTTCAAATTATAGCAACATGTTAGTCAAAAGAAACTTAGTACTTCCTTCATGGGACAATGCGCTGTGTCTATTTAAGCCAAATTAGAGATTACGATAATTAATGAACATATCCATTAATTATCAAAATCTACAGCATCACTGTTAGAAAATATACATAGTCTGAAATAAGCATGTAATCGCAAGTGTCTTAAGAACATGAGCTCGTAGGACTTTTATAGTGTTCTGGAGCCCTTACTTACTCTAATTTTCTCACGAATTATGATCAATTTGATAAAACATTAACTGTTGTACTCTCCGGGCCAAAGGCTTTATTCAGATTAGAACTTTCAGAGTCCCAAACAAAATTAAGTAACAAACAAAACAAAATTTAGTACATAAACAAACAAAATTTAGTAAATAAAGTCATGATTAATGCAATTAAATGACATGTAAATAAATAAACAAAAATATAAATAAATTAAATTAATGACAAATATTTAAAAAAGAAAATTATAATGCCGAAACTCATACTATTTAGCTGGATTAGCTATTTAGGATGTAATTATGATTTTTTTCATACTAAGAAATACCGATGTCCCATGAGAATGCCATAATGCTCACATGTTTAGATGGCAGTGCTTACCTCACAAAATAGAGAAACTGACCTTCTAACCTTGATCTAAATATATAAATATAAAGTAACACGGGAGAAAAAAAAAGCATTGAAAAGTATGGAAGTAAAAAAAAAAAAAAAAATAGACGTTGGGAAGAGTACAAAAATGAAGATACTTATAGCAATAAACAGGGTATGTGTATAGAGTCAAGTTCCTCTGTGATATTCTTTGATTAAAATTAACGTAATATGATGATCAGCAAATTAATTATTAAATCCTAAGACCTTTAAATACGTAATAATTATTCCTACATAATTTAAATACATTTTTATAGACACATAAGGATACTTATGGACCCAATACAATTTACTTTAACATCCCCTCTCACTGCAAACTAACTGAATTTTCAATTTTCATTTTCAGGCAGAATTTTACAGACATGGAAATCGAAATGCTTTTTGCCAAGTATGATATCAACAACGACCGTGAGTTAGATGCTGATGAAACGAAGATGATGCTCGCCGATTTGGATGGCCAAAGGTTGGAAATTGATCGTCAGATGAAGCATGAGAAAACCAGTAGCACTGTTGATTCAAGCAATACACTTGCCTTGGCATCTCTTGTTTCTCAGCAAGATTTCAACAGGTAAAAAGGCATTTAAAGCTAATGTAAGCCTAAGTATTTATACCTAGCAATAATCAATGGAAAATTTAGAGAAAAACACTTAACTTTTACAATATTTATGCTTATTTAATTGAATTGAATTTGTGAAGATTATGGTAATTTTTGACAAGTGGCACAAGTCCTGTGCGACATATTCACGTCAGGTTCTACAAATTTAGTAAATAAAAATTTTACATTTCCCTACAATAATAATATTAAAAAATTATTTATGTAGTGTCCGTGTGCATGAGTGGTAGCACTTTGTGCTGAAATCAAGGCTGGAGGAATGTGATTAATAAAATACTCAGCCATTTCATAGCAACAAAAAGTTACAAAATACAGTACAATAACAGAATAGCTGATTCTCCTAAAAAAAATTAACTATTAAGAGTACACCTAGAGGGACAATAGGCAAGCTTGCATCCTCCCTAAGGAGAGGATACAAAGAGTAATACACATAGTGAGATTCTCGAGTAAGAGTACAGTAAAATAGCTTTCACCGTCTAAGAATCTGGTATTTTGGCCAAATTGTAAAAGATGGTTTAGAGCTTTTTATAGCAATGGTTTAGAGCAGTGATCGCCAAACCGTCGATCCTGATCTACTAGTATCTCGCGTGAACATCTTCGGTAGATCACATTAACTATCTTCAGTTCGGAGACATCTTCGGTTGCCTAACATTGATTCCTCCACTGAGCCGATGCTGACAAGAAGACACTGTTGCAGTGAAGTTGGAGCTAATTGATTTTCAAAATGATTTATCTGTATCTTCAATGTATAAAAATATTAGGCCTCTTGTTTCTTAAGTTAAATACCCAATTTTGGTCCAGGTTTGTCCCAAAGTTAAAACAATATTCAGCTGTATATATCTGTATGAGACTTCTTTTTGCAGTGTGAAATTTATTAAAAATAAGCACAAAAACAGACTCATTGATGAACACTTGGACAACTATATTCGTTTGGTTTGGTTTGGTTTATTTAATTATGGCAAAGCACACTAGGGCTATCTGCCTAAGGGGAGGGATGCCTTCGTGGAGGACTTTCTAAGGGAAACTAGCTCGTATACACGTTACACATGGGGAAAAAAAAACGAAACCCCATTGCAGCCAGCCCGTTCGCGGGATTCGAACCTCGGACCGAACTACCAGTGTTCAGCGACTTTACCTCTCGGCCGCTGGTGGGCCCAACTGTATTCGAATGGCAGCCACTACCTACTCTCCCAACATTATTAAACTTGTTCATGAGGGGAAAAAATAAGAGTTCCATCCTCATTAAAGTTAATCAGTCTGATAAAAAAAGTATGTTATTAAATTTGTTATTTATTAGTAACTACATTTCAGTTTTTCTTATTTACAATTCAATTTCAATTTCTTTTTGTTATATACAGTTTAATTAGAATTTATTTCAAATTTACTAGAAATGTAAGTTTATAAGCAATAAGCAAATATAATATTTTCTAAAGTTGTAGTTTTTATGGGTAGCTCACAGTAGGATTTAAAAACTGTATGGTAGCTCAGAAACCTTAGAAGTTTGGCGACCACTGGTTTACAGCATCATTAAAATCGTGAAGCGTTACATTTCTAGTAGAATTTGTTGATAATTCGTGGCGTCTTGCCATGGTCACTTCAGATATGTTACTGTTTATACATTTTGCTAACCTATTAATTTCCAAATTCAGACGATAATACTTGTGATGCACCAAAAAAAAAAAAAAAAAAAAAAAAAAAAAAAAAAAAAAATGACAAGAAACGCCATCTTTCAAAGCATCTCAACAAAACTTTCAGAGTCTGAATTCTTAGGTGAGTTACGAATGAACACTTTTTGGAATATATCATTTTATCACAAAAAATATTTCGACGGACGATAATTGTTTTGTAAGAACCAAGTCTTAAAATATAGAAAAAAATATATTAGGAAACAATTCGGAGTCTATGTTTTAATATTTAATACAAAACCTCTACAAATAAGTTTCATAAATGCGAGTGGGCCCACCAGCGGCCGAGCGGTAAAGTCGCTGAACACTGGTAGTTCGGTCCGAGTTCGAATCCCAACGGATGGCTGACATGGTGTTTCGTGGTTTTGGCCATGCTAACGTGTATACGATCCAGTTTCCCTAGAAGTCCTCCACGAAGGCATCCCTCCTTTAGTGAGCCTTATAGTGTGCTTTGCCATAATAAATACACACACCACACATAAACATAAAACAATATCATACAATAAGATCTCATTAAGATAACAATATCTCTATCTCTCTCTCTCTCTCTCTATATATATATATATATATAGTGAGTATGTGTGTGCGCGCGCATCAGAAATGAAATTTTAAAAAATTGAGAAAATCTTTAGGCACTACAATATGCTTTACTTCATGAAATATAAATTATAAATAATAGAATCATAAAATAGTTGAAATATTTATTCAAGAGTAGCGTTAAATTATCTTATTTCTTAGCATGAAAGATTTAAACGTAAATTAATGATACATTAATATGTGCCTTAATTTTTGTCAAACCACGTTAAATTAAGATATCGCAAATTTTCTTGTAATAAATATGATAGCACCGTTATCCAAATTTAAAACAAAACTATGAACATCTGGGTCAATACAGGGAATAAACAGGAGCATTTTATCATGAACTATTAATTTAGGGATTTTAGTGGGAGACTGGGGAAAACTGCAGGATATTACGCTCCAGTGCCTCCTTACCTAATGTCGGTAGTATGTGATACTCTCTCTCTCTGTTAGAATCTGAAGTATAGTTTCCCATTCTAAAAGAAACTAATGTCTATAAATTAGTGCGTTTGAATGCTTGATTTTCTAAAATTCGTAAAAGAAAATAAACACGTTCACAATTTCATGTTTATCGTGAAAATCCAAATTTAAATGATGGATAACTACAGATACAACAATGGAGAACTAGAAAACTTCAGCTATGATGTGCAAAGGTAAGTTTCGTGATGCTTATATTTTTTTCTGTGTCTCAAATTAAAGCGTTCAGAGCAAACGCTTTTCGGTATTCGGTAGTTAACAAAGGATTATTTCTTTGATTTCTTTGTTATTTAAGTATTTTATATATTATACATTCCAGGCGATAAAATATTAACGAATAATTGAACAACTAGCATATCTTTTTTAAACATAACACACATTATGTAGTATTGCTGTTTCTGAAATGCATTAAAATATGCTTTTTGTTACGCTAATTAATGGTGCTCGGGGGGCTAATTAATGGTGCTCGGGTGCTACCTTATAAAAATAAACAAAAATAAATTCCACAATGTTTTTGACAAATTTTCTTTATTATCATATAGTCATGTTTTCCTTTCAGTTGTTACTGAATAACATACAAATAATAAAGCTGTAATCAAGTAAAATATAATAGTTGTAAAAAAAGTGTGAAAAAACATAATTTTTATTAATTTTTTCTTTTATTTTACAGAAAACTTTCAAGTAGACTCCTATTTATTTATTTCAGGATTATAATTTCTCTTTATAAATTAACATATGCCCTGTCTTGTTCATCAAATACTCCTTCAGTTGTCACAGCCTATTTGC